TTAAATTCAGTACAAATGTCTTGCACTTTTAGTGCCACAGATGGCAGATAGAGTACTCTAGCAGATACAACTACAATAACATTGAATCATTCATCAACTATCTCTTTGATCTTCCTGATCTTCCCCTTGGTGGCCTCCTTCTCTTTGAACAGATCACCTATAGTGTACTCCAGGTGCCTTTTCTCTTGCTTCCACTTCTCCTTCTCCTCCAACAACATGGACCTCTCCTGCTTGATCTTTTCCATCTCCTGCACAAGCTTCACCTTCTCTTCCTTCTCTTGGTCTCTCTCTTTCTATGCTTTGGCCCTCAGCACTTGATGAATGTTAGTGTCTGATTTGTCAGCCAAGTTCTTTTTCTCAATCTGTTCCTTCAGGTCACTAATAACCAACCTTGCATTGCCTAACTAGGTAATTGCATCCTCCTTGTCAGCCACCATTTTGGCAAAGTCAACTTTAAAAAACCTCAGGTCATTTTCCATCTTCCTCTTCTCTTCCATTACCTTCACTACTTCTTCAGCATTAAGTACATTCTGCCTCAACCTATTGGTCGTCTCCTCCTCATACATAGTCCAGATGGTATTTAAAGCTTGCTTCAATTGGACTGGCCACTCAGGGTCAATCCAGTCCACAAAGTTGCACTTTGGTACATCCTATGAATGTGTGAAGAAAGGAAATATAATTAAACCAACTTCTAAAAACATTACTGATAAAATAAAAAACAACAATCCATTAATTAGTCATGTTTCTACTACTGCATTGCCTACTACTGGAAAGAAAATATAGAGCTAAAATGATTTCAAAAAACAATGGCCACAACATATAAGAAATTGGAAACTGCCTAATTTCAAACTTATTGTATAGAACTATTCCACTGCCTACTCATGGATTTTGTACTGCTGTTGTATCAAGATTTATGGCCAGAGATATATACTTTAAACTGCCTAATTTCAGACTTATTGTATCAGTCAACTGAGCAGTTCAGTGGATTCACATATTACAGACCAATTCTATCAGTAATGAAATCGCATGTTTCACAAAATCACTTCAACACTTTAAGAACTAATTGAACTGGTAAGAAAATCACCTTTTCTGCACACCCTAGGAACCTCCTGCCGCTATCAGTCCATTCAAAGGCAACAAACTTCTCACAGGGGGCACGATGCTCACAATGTGCAGGATGATTCAAAGCAATGCCACTCCAGTCCGTGGACTCCATTTTGGCAGGTACCTAACCAGAGGGAAAATGAATTTATGTTTGTTGATTTTGGTCGAAGCCCCAAGGCAAGTGTGGATGAGGTGAGGGAGAGGGCGGCAAATGCGAGCAAGGCGTAGGGACGCCGGCTGGCAAAGTCGAGTCAAAACCGACAACAAAGCTAGCCCCGGCACCACATGCGGATGCGAGTCCGAGGATTGGCAGGTGCAAGTAGAAGGCCTTTTACATTTTCTTTACCCATGGTTGCATTAGAACGAGTCGGAGATGACGTTGTTTTTACGGTGATCGGAGGAGTAGGAGATGCCCGAGAAGGAAGATAAATGGTTATCTTATCTAAGGATGAAGATGATAATCTGACTGTCCGTTTGAATCCAACGGCTCTCACAAATCATTTTTTCAGGTATCTTGTAAATGGTCGGTCTGTTTTTCCTATTTCTCAACACGCGACTGGTTTAGCATTAAACCAACTTCGGTTTAGGGCGAACTGTGGGCGTTTATCTTAGCACAAAAAAAGCTCAAAGTTGTACCCCGAAGACTGCAATGCTTAGGCACATAAGGCCTTGTACAATGGGAGGTGCTTAGAGGAGGTACTTAGAGAAATAAACCAGATTTTTCTTAAGCACCGATGCTTATTTATACAGGATAGACACTTAACTAAGCGTCTCTTCTGTAGAAATAGGCACCGGTGCTTCAGAAAAATCCGGTTTATTTTTCTAAGCATTCCTCTAAACACCTCCCGTTGTACAAGGCCTAAGCTGACCCTACAAACAAACCACCTAAAAGAAGGGCGCACCCTCCGCTGCGGCTGCTCAACAGCTCATCAGGCACCCCACACACCAACCAGGGAGAGTACGCCCTCAGGCAGTTACCTAACTGCAACGATGCATGCAAGCCCACATGCAGGCACGAAGGGCCACACGACAGCCATCGTGAAATTTCTGATAGTCTCAGCGTCGGCCTAGCAAGCCACGCATAAACTTGAAGAAGATACTTTCAACAATATATATCACATATAAGGAAAATTTAAGGGCATTAACATAAAAGCATAAGTTTAGTTGGAAAATAAAATCTCAATACATCATCTACTCCCTCCATTCCTAAATATTAGTCTTTGTAGAGATTTCACTACGGACCACCTACGGATGTATCTAGATGCATTTTAGAGTATAGATTCATTTATTTTGCTCCGTATGTGGTCCATAATGAAATCTCTCCAAAGACTTATATTTATGGACGGAGGTAATATATGTGATTATATGGTGCGGATAATATGATTATAATGTACTCAACTACAAATAACTATTATTTTAGAGCAAGCAAAGCTTTATAACTTAACGGTGCTCAGGCGGATCGCTCGAAGCACAAGTAGCCAGTTAGGCTGGTACATGAGTCCCCCATTCCACAACCTGGTTCATAGGGTACAAACGGCCAATATTGGCTAAGTACATGCGCTACCGCATTTGCACTACGACGAACAAACAGTTCTTACATGTTTAGAGAACCACATTTTAAGCTGAAACTTTGTGTCCTCAATAACCGCAGCGTAAGCAGTTGAGTCGACTCTCCTGAGATCCATAACCTCGCCCAACATCTGCGAGTCCGTCTCAAACACAACCCTGAGAATGCCCATATCGGCCGCAAGATCCACGACATTAGAGAGAGCAGCCACTTCGGCCGTAAACACATCATGTATATTGTCCTGCCTGCCAGCCCTGCCTGCCACAATGGCCCTCTTCGAGTCTCTCACCACAACGCCCCAGCCTGCGTGCCCTTCCCCCTGTGCGAAGGAACCATCCGTATTGATCTTCACCATTTCCGCAGCCGGTGGTGCCCATTTGTCCGCACAAATTTTCTTTGGTTCAGTGATATATAGCTGCATGTATTCCAAGGACGAGGAATCCAGCGGTCAGACCAAATTTTGAATATATACAACATACAACATGGTGAAGTGCGCCGAGGAGGGGGGCATATGTCCCCATGCCCATGTTGTTGTTTTTTGTTCTGCAACTCAATTTTTTTTTTTTTTTGCAATTTCTTTGAGTATGTAGACATGTTGAGCCTTTATTTAGGACGGGACCTAGGCCGCCACACCTTTTGCCATGGCCTAGGGTCGGCCCAGAGCTCCACAACGCAGTGATGATCTCTTCACACATGCCCGAGATCGCTTTGATGGACATATATTTTCGATTTGTGCAACTTCTTTCAACAAACTTTTAAGAGTTAAACAAAATAACCTTGTTCTTCAGATGAGAAAAAAAATAGGGTAAACTTTTTTAGTTTTATTTATAGAATCATGTAGCTGAAACAGTACTAGATCTACAATGTCATCTCTCCTATTGGCTCTTACGTAACTAAAATGTTACTGAAATGACATATGAGCACATTCAACCTGCATGTAAAGTTTTCACTAAGAATAAATTGTGCATTGGTTTACAACCAAGGGAAAGTTGTATCTGTACTACCAACCAATCCTAGGGGCTAATGCCTGAGCAGGATCAACACACCCCGATCTCAGGCTCGGCAACATCATATGCAGGAACAGCAACAACACAGGAAGAAGGGCTAAAAGGCCACCGGACGCTCGAGCTGGCTGGTAGCAGACATCTTCCCATCTCAACAAATTCAGTGGTAGCACTACATAAAATTCAGTGGTAACACACCCAAACCCAATCTTCTTTCTTGAACTGTTTAGCCCCTGAGCTAGCGAGCAATAAGGTGTAACGAAACAAATCCTATGTTCAGAAGAAGTATTAAAAACTGAAAAATAAAGCAAACAAAGCTGGATGCTTTTGTAGGGGCAACGAGCTCAATGTTAATATTAATCAAAATGATCGCAATGTACATGTACTTAACATTTTTCCTTTCTGACATGAGTTTATAATTCAGTTTGATGCTACAACGTATCAAAGGTTTGGAGAGATAAAACATTTGGTGCAAACACTTTCCTGGCGACATTTCATAATATTACATTTCCTCTATTATGGATGACAGGAAGAGAAAATAAAAAGGTTGCTCTCCTTCCTCTAGCTTGATAGTTTTATTTTTCCTTACGCCTAAACCCTGGTTGCTATAGCTCCCATAGTATCTGTGTTAAGTCGACAATTATGAAATGTTACGTGGTCAAACTGATGATGCTAGTTTCACATTATCGAACTAAATATATTTCATATGGTCAGTGTTCAAAGCTAGAGAAGTTTGACTGCAGAACATATTGGGAAGGGATGATTTTAAGGAATATTGTTCTACTTTAAGCCCAGACATTATACTTCTCAGTTATAGTGTGCCAAGATTACAGTTTCAGCCTAATATAAGAAAGCTTGGGAAGCTGCATGAGGCAGAAACATGCAAGAACCATTAACCGTTCATCCCCAAAAGCTCACCAAGTCTGAAAATTCAGTTCCAATGTGATCCAAATATGCAGTCACATTCTTATTATATCCTTCAATTCTGGAGCAAATAACATCTGCAATATCACCTTGCAACATACATTAAAAAAACTAATTCTTCATATATTCTCATGATATATGTAGCTTCGCTCCGAATACAGAAGCAAAGGAGCACAACATCAGTAAGAATGCAATATCTTTTCCCATTTCCCAATGCAAGGGTTCCTAAATATATAATTGATGCCTAGTTAAAACTACTACACAAAACATGCCCAAGCGAATAGATATTGAGCAATCACAACTTTACAAGTAGATTGAGATGAGATGCCACAGAAAATCCCTTAGATTTTTGTATCGTCATCCAAGAATTTTCTACGTCAAGTAATACTTGCACCGTTTGTTTACTTGCGATACAAAATATCGCAGTTGTCAGGCCTACACAGCAAGGTCAGCAAAGGTGTGCCATCAGATGATATCAGGTTGCCACTTCCAATCTCCAGTGGTTCAGGGGTTGTGGTTGACGACCAATAGCTTCGAACTATATGGAAAGCACCCTTCCCTGATTCTGATCGAGGGAAGAAATCAAAGCGCTTTACTTGCAAACCTCCAGCCGTCAAGCCTTCGCCTAGAGTTTCGAGTCGCAGCGGGATGCCAAGTGCATACGTTAGAGCCCTCATTGCTAGCGCTGATGCTTTAACATCCAGGGGACGCACCTCTTTCCAGCAATACTGTTACAAAACCATAATATGTGAAACAGTGAGCTCAGTATGTAAATGGTAAATTCAGTATTGGTTAACTTATTTTGGTCATGATTATCTTATTACAATTCACAGGGATAATTGTTTCCGGGATTTTACATGTTTATGCAGAGAAAATTCTCAACCTTGATAATACTAGTTGACTATTCAAGAAAAGTACTAGGGGTAAGAAATTCTAACCTGATTGACATTCATCTTTCCCGGGATAAATGGTTTGTAATCATCTATTCGCGTACGGATCTCAGTCTCTGCCAGCAATCTTAGCAAGGAAATAACTGGAAAAAAAGTGTTAAGCGAGAGAGAAGAAGTGGACAAACAAAACATTTTGGCAAGCATGTAGTATCCTTACCCCTGAGTGGCATCATCTCCTGTAGACTTCTCTTCTGCAACTCATCAGAACTAAGACTGCAAATGATAAAAGCAATTATTTTTTAATCCCGAACCTAACTACAAAGAAGCAAAGGGATCTTGAAACTTAATGTCATGTCTTGTCAAAGAAAATCACTACAAAATATCAAGTTCAAAGCTCATACCCATTTGCAACAGAATTGACCAAATGATTCAACTCCTGAAATAACATGCAGACAACCGGTTAAGTATATGATCTAAGCTATATTATGCAGACAAAATCATATTCGTTTAGCATACTGCATACAGTAGTCATAATGGTGCAACAAACAAACATCTCAGCGAAATATCACGCCAACTGCTCCTAATGCTCCACTATTTTTGCAGTGAATACTTGAGCTTAACAGCATAAATGAAAAGTGGAGTTTTTAGTCAAGTGGAATATGATGACAGGCCATAGTATTATTAAGGAGCTCTTAAGTTGGTGTGGTCCAGTAGACCAGTACTCTCCACCATGTCGTTTAAAATTTTATAAATAGCCTGTTAGCATTTACAACATGAAATGCTGAGCTATTAAATAATTTCCATGATCAGAGCTAATAAGCCTAAAACTGCTATGTCCACTGCTCATGTAGCAGGTATAGCTCCTCTATGCTACATGCGACAAAACTACTTGAACTTGTAAACATGTCTTCTCTATACTCTTCTTAGATCTCATACATACTATCCTGAAGATTAAGTAATTTGGATACTAGAAAATAAACATTTAGAGAACTTTCCCAGTCTTTCCTTAAATTTTACATGTATGGCGGCAGCTCCATGAGCGCTCATAGGTTTTTCTCTCTCCTCACTCTGCATAACCGTCCTTTCCTGTTTAGTGGGCGTATTTTGGAATTCGCTAAGACCAAGGATTTTTGTATTTGCCGGAACTTTGTACTGTTCTTTCGATAAGTAATAGAATGTTCAGGCTGGGCCAAATCTCGCCTTAGTTCAGTCATAGATATGACCAAATGCAAAATCTATCTTCTATTATACATCTCACTGCATATATTTCATACTCGGAACAGTAAACAAAGATGTGTACTGCAGTAAAAAAAGCAAGAGTAGCATGGCTTTTTCAATGTGAGGCATTGTTCTTCATTAAAGATATTTTCTGATGATGTGGAAGGGGTCAGATAACTTTCAGAACAGATTCAGCAAGGGCACTGGATAATTCAGGCCACATAAGGGACATCAAGTTATTTTGGCAAGTATTATAAATCATAGATAGTTTGATTTTCAGTAAAGGCCTACCCTTATTACAGAAGAATTAGGGTTACGACATCAGAAAAAAATGAAGCTTCTGTGAGCTATGAGAATACATACAGAAGCAACACTTGAAAAATATTCTTCAGGATTTAAGAAATATGCTTTGTCCCATTTCAGACGACAGAAATTCTCTCTGGACACTGCCACATGTTCCATTAGACGAGTAACTTCAGCTTGACTATCTTGCATTTGTCCAAGATTTTCCTGTTTACAAGCAGAGTCATATCAAACTTCGATGCAAAAGAAAAAAGCAACAGCATAAAAAACCTAGTAACTTAGATGGTTACCAAGTAGGAGAAAAAGAAAGCTCTGTAGAAACAGCTGCCATCTCCGCGAGTTCGTTTGAGGTGCACATAGCGCTGACAAAGAATCTGCACAAAACTAGGTTTTGCACATTAGCATAAAAGAATTGAATAATGAGAATGCTCCTGTAGTGCCATGCAAACTTACCTTGATCATTTCCTGGACAATGTCATTATCTGGATAATCCTCAGCCAAATCCAAGAGTGGTTCCTGCCATAGAACAAAGTAAGTACTGCAACAAAGGACTAACTATTTATTAGATTCATCTGAATTAATAAAGGATCTGAATAAGTAATGCTGAAGCACAAGGCGCAAAATTGTAAGCCTAAGAAATTCTATTATAGTTTTCACGCACCAATCATCCACTTATTTGGGAGGAAAATGACATGAGGCCGTCGTGGGGAAAACATATGTAACATTAGATATGGATCATCGATCACAATGTGCAAAGCTAAAACTTATTTTAAGTCACATAAGAACTTCTCCTGTACCCTAACTCACATTATTAGTTAAGACACATAAGGACCTTGTCAAGAGTAGGTTCCAGTTTCCACTTGTAATTGCACAGAATAACATCTATGAAAATTAACATCAAAGCATTCAAATAAGAAGTCAATGTCTTCCCCAGATAGTACCATAGACCATAGTTCTCTAGGGGAGTGACTGCATTTTCAACATTTTAAGGTTACATGTAACAAACACTCAAACATGGCGAGTGCTAATAAAATTAGCATGTTAAGCTGACAAATTTCAAGATAACAATGTTACTCTCCGACAAGGAATAACTGGGACAGTGAAGAACCTCACTGGAAATGTTTCAAGATCTAACTCTTGAAAATCTAGTGAAACTTTATTCACTGCATTGTTGTGAACAGAGGAGCTATGATTTTCTCACCTGGAATTCTAATGCCCATGGACGAGCTAACGGCCGCCGGAAAACACCACTGACACTGAGAACACGGCGGCCCCTCGGTGGTCGGAGGTATGTTCTCTTGCCGTCCAGCAGCTGATTCCAGTTTTTCCGCAGAGAAAAATATTCATTTTTGTTGAGCGGCACTGAGTCATGCCGAAAGAGATCATGCGGGAGATTCTTCTTTTGACCACTCATGAACAATGGAATGTAGAATTTCTCATCATCTGGGACTTCATCCTATAAATAATTGCAGACAGATAGTTGTAAAGGATACTTTCCAGAACAAATAAGGCCCATAATTACCTGAAAAGAAACAAGTGTAGTAACAACTACAGCAACAGATTCAGACTCCAACTAATGCAATCAACATTCAACAACTAGAAATTTAAGTAACAACTACAGCAACAGATTCAGACTCCAACGAATGCAATCAGCATTCAACAACTAGAAGTTTAATTCCAACCGACGAGGCACCCTTCTCTGTGTTCAGAACAATTGAACTAAGAACTACCAGCGAAGGAACACAAATTCTCACCTCATCCTCTTGCACCGCATCCAAATCCGCTCCATCGTCTTCGGGCCAATCATCGTCATCATCATCCGGTCCTTCATGCTAGAAAATGGCATGGCATTGTAAGAAGAAGAAAAGAAAAGTTTGCAGCACAAATGCAGATAACAGTGTAAAGAAGTGCAGTGAAAGACAGAACCCCCGGCCCGGACAACAAAGGGAAATCCAACAGCCTTCGGTTTCCAAGTCACGGATTGGACCAAGAACTCGCAGCAATCAAAGGAACGCAATTTCTGGATAGAAGCCCCAACAAATTGGTCGGACAACTGCACCAATTCGAAGAACGCAGCCAAGAAATTGATAATCAAACTACGACGCCGACGACACCCGATCCCGCAGCAGCCAAGAAAGCGCCCCCCACGAACTGGGCGCAGGAATTGCCCGAAAGCGGACCAAGAACGAAGCCGAGGCCACCCCGACGCACCACCGAATCGCGCTGGAAGAACGAGATTCCGGCGAAACGGTCGCCGAGCAACCATCGCCGTTCACAGGAGACGGCAGGAGGAAGCAAGAAACTCACCGTGTACCTGACGATGGGGGTCGGCGGCGGCTGAAGCGGGAGCGGCGAAGCGGAAAGCGCCGCGGGGTCGAGGGAGGGCGACGGCGCAGGCCCTGGTGCGGGCGGCGGCGTGGGCTCGCCGCCGCCGCGGCCGCCGCCGCCGTCTCCGCTGCTTCCTGCTCTGTCCTTGAATAGCTTGACCTTGAATCTGAATTTTGGCCCCATTTCTTTCGCTGCCTGGGATATTCCTTTTCTGCCCCCGCCGACGCCGAGAAACCCTGCCTTCTTTCGGCCTCGCCCCTCGGTTCCTGCGGAATTCGGTACCGGCCTTTTGCAAGGGACCAAGTGGTAGATGTCTTTATATACGCAACCTTGGGGATTTAGGGACCCCCTCCCCCCTACGTCTTTCTTAGTTTTTGCAGGTCAATGTTTTTCTTAGTTTCTGTTTACCCGACGACATTGACGAGGTAGTGACGGTGATGATACGTTAGAATAAGGTCTCTCTGGCCTCTTCTCATGTCAACGACGTTCGATCCGGCTACAACGTAGGGCTGTGAGGGTACGTGTTGCCACATCAGTTGGCTCTCTTTGGATCCTGGCAGTTGGCTGCGTGTATCAATCAAGCATGCATGGATCGATTTCTTCAACTCTCTAGATCGGTGGTGAAAGATTGCAAACATGGGTTGCATGGGGTGATACCACATACTGATGTTCTTTCAATGAATAATAGATCTCATTCTAGCGGTGAGTGGCTATTGTCGTTTTCAAAGCCTAGTTTAGCAAGGGTCTTTGCTAGTCTATTTTTACCTTACTGTCGGGTCAGTGCAATTTTCAGACTCTGACGAGCGGCGTGCGATCAAAGTAAGAAGACATCCACTATGTTTTTGTTGTAGTTTTTCTTTTTTTTTAAATCTCGTCATTTTGTGTGTTGATGTATTTTCCTTCAAGTGGCATCATATTGCCAAAGGTCAGAAATTGTTACTCCCTAGTGTCAAAAAAACACTCTTATATTATGCGACGGAGGGAGTAGTTAGGAAGATAATAGACGTGTTTGATTCAATGCCTAACTTCAAACTATATGCTTAGTTGGCGCAATAAAAGGTGAAGTTGCACACTATTATTTGCATGGTGCATACGTTATGGACTTATTTATCTTTTTGCCCAAAAAACATACCCGTGGTTTTGATTGATTTTTTTGTAAATTCAATTTTCTCGATGAAGGTTGGATTATATTAACTCAAAATGAAGCATCAAGAGGATATAAACACAGTGAGCATACATTCGACATCTGCATAGGTAGGATGCACATAGCCAACACCAATGCATACACACAAAACAGATTGTAAAGTTAGTTGTGACAAAATTAGCAACAGAATAAAACACCTCCCCTCGGCCCTGTTTTCATCTATGTGTTTCTTAGTAAATGGTGATGTAGGCTTGAGAACAA